CCATTTAATTGGGGATTTAAACCATCTAATTTTAAACTTAGGTTTATGAGTTTAATTTCCAAATACCTGAGGATTTTTAAGACTTTTAATTTATTTCTAATTCCATATTGTAATTAGTGTGTGTATATATATAATCACAATTTTTAAAAAATATACTAAGACTTGTATTCTATTCAACTATAGTTGGGATTGTTCCATGAGATTTTGAAAAATGTGTATTATGTAGCTGTTGCATTTAATAATATCTGTCAATATGCTAAAGTGCCTTCCTAATGTTATTTTAATATTCTATAGTTTTAATAAACTACATGTCCGTATTCTACAGATCAGAAGGGAAAATCCATTTGTAGATTTTATGTTGCCTATTAGTTCTATCAAACTGGGGGTGCTACGTTTTTCTCCAGCCTGACAGTCTGTGCCTTTTAACTGCAGAGATGTTTAATTACTGAGTCAACCATCTTGCTCTTTGTTTTCTACTTGTCACACCCGGTATTTCGTTTCCTGCACCTATCTTTTTTCAGGGGAAAGAAACCAGTTGATCCCACTTTAGCATCTAACTTCATCACCTCTATTGACCTCTTTCTTTTTTTAGTGGTTGCTCTGAGAATTATTGTATGCAACCTTTACTTATCACAGGTTACTCTGAATCAATATTGTATCACTTAACACATAATATTTTTTTAAAAACTTACCTCCATTTATTAACTGGCCTCTGAAATCCCCACCCTAACAGAATGGTTTTGCAGTTATGTGACCTTAACATAAACCTTTATATGTTCTTCCCTCTGCACACTTTTTGTTCACTTTTTCATATACTTAATTCATCAATTTTCACTATTTTATTTTTATTGCTCTCTCTATATATAAAGATTATAAATTTCCTATTTCTACACATATCCACCAGATTCAGATTTTGATATGCAGTGTCTCCATTACCAATATTTTTTAGAAATTCTCCAATTTCAGTTCATATTTCTCCTTGGATACAAAAATTAATTAATATATAGTATTTACATTTGCAGGCAGAAAGTCGTTTCATTCACTGATTTTGTTACTGCTGATTAATTTTATTGCACTGTGATCAGAGAATATTGTCTGTATGAGTTCTATGTTACAGAACTAAAAATTTCTTTACAAACAAATGTATGTTCAACTTTTGGTGACACCCTATATATGCTGAAATAAAAATTACTGGGGAACAAAGTTCAATACAAATTTAAAATGATATATTTCACTGCTCATGTTCTGAGCCCTCTCTTCTATACCTCTCCTACCTTGTCCACCTGACCCACTAGGCACTGCAGGTAGATGTTAAAGTTTCCCATGACGGACTTTATTATCTTATAGCATCTTTCTCCACCTCATTCTAAAATGCTTTCTCGATTCTATACTGGTATTCTTGTTAAATACCAAGGCTACAACTCCTGCTTCCTTTTTATTTGTATTTGCTTGATGTATCTTTCCTTAACCCTTTAGCCTTTCTGATCCAATTTTCTGTGTGAAAAAGCCTGCGTACTATGCATCTTTAGCCATATGAATTGATAAACTGTTGTCTAATTTTTAAAACCAAATTTATTTTTTGGTGAGGTGTGTATTTTCTGGTCACTGCCATTTTCCCAGTGTCCCAGGAGCCTGCCTTCACCCTACTCTCCTTGCTTAGACAGCTACTATTGAGCTCGTCAGCTTTCAATAAAGTCTCTGACTGCCTTTCCACCCATGTAGCAACCAATGAGCTCCTTCTGTTTTCTCCTCTCCTCCTCTTCCTGCTTTTCAGCTGATGATTTGAGGAAGCATATACAATTCATATACACTGTACCATCTTCCACCCATCCTCCCTCCACTGTTTTATTCTTAGATCTGTTAGAGCTTCAGTGCTCACCATAAAACTTCCACCCAGGTCATCTATCGGCTGGGCAGAGCTAATCCTCTGTGAGATTATTCACAGAAGGCTCATGTGTACCACACACCTGAATTCCGTATTGTCCAGAACTCTCTCTGAATCCTGACAGCTTGAGACTGCTCTCCACAGAATTGGCACTTGCAGGACAGCCTCGAAGGAGCAAAACGCTCCACTCACACATTCTTCCCCTGCGCCCTGGAAAGGCTGCCCTGCTCTTGTATGGCTCTGCATGCTGAAAACACTGACACCAACCTGGCCCTTTCCAACTGTGGGGAGCTAGTCATTTTCCCAGGGAGACCAAAGGATTTTTCCCTGTAGATGTAAAACATGACAGCAGCTACATGTCTTGGAGTTTTCTCACGTGCATGCTGGGCCCTTTCAGTGTGTACCTCAGACATCCTTGTATTTAGTAACACATACTTGGGCTGTCAATGTTTCAAACCGCTTCATGATTTTGTTTCAAGACTCTCATGTCGGGTCTTTCTTGCCGTTCTTCCACATCTATCAACCTCTAGTCCTTTTCACCTCTTTGATCATCTCGTTTCCTCGACTCTTTTCTTTACAACCTTCCTATCTCTTACTGTGCATCCCCCACAAGCATGCTGTGATTCAGTCCTCCCTTCTCAGATGCTCACGTTCAGTGTTCTCTTGAGTTCAGTTAGCCTTCTCATTCACACTGTCCTGTTTTATTCTTAAGCTTTTATTCTTACATTCTTGAGAAATTTATTCCATTTTGATTCTTGTGTTTTTAAATGTCTGATTTACAGTGTTCTTTCCTAAGTACCATCGTTTGGTTAGTTACATTTAAATCAGGCTTGTTGCATTGTTACAGAATTACTTTGCATTGAGGTTTTTCCTTTCCCTGTTTTTAGAAATTTTTTATCAATTGAAAATGTGCTTCTTACTTATCTGTTTTCTTCTGTTGATAACTACATTTGCCCAGGCATGATGGCTCTCGTGTCTATAATCCCAACACTTCAGGAGGCTGAGGCAGGAGGACTGCGTGAGCCTAGGAGTTTGAGGTTGCAATGAGTTATGATCACACCACTGCACTCTAGCCTGGGTAAGACAGCAAAATGGGTTCCTTCTTCTATTCATAATAATAAGAGCTGTTTTTCTTGAATCTGTACAAATAGGAAATCCTATTCCAAGGATGGGAGGTGGAATTTGTTTCTTAATCCAAGAGTGCCTTCTTCTACAGGCACAATGAAGTTCAATGTCTTCAGTGAAGAGCATCCTTTTGGGGTGGTGTGGGCTGACTCTTCTGATTGCTATTACCATGTTTCAGAAAGGTCAACTTTGTCTTTTTCTTCCTAATTAAGCCTCCTAGAGCCACCAACTCTTTACCAGTGCCCCTTTCCCCTGTACATTCCCCCAAGGTCACTTCCAATCTGTACTTCTCCACAAGTCCCTTCAATGTCCCATAGCTTTGCTTACCCAATTCATTCACAGGATGCATTATCCTACTTAGGAATCCTTTTTCTTCTGAATGCAAAACCTACATGATATCAGCATCCCAAGACAATCTCCTTCTGCTGCACCATCCTGGCTCTGGAGCTAACTGTGTTATTCTGGATATTTTCCCCACTTACAGTAAATTGAAGTTCACAGTATCTTCTGTCTCACATTTCTGCTAAACATGAGCTACAGATTACACTCTCTACTCTCATAGTTAGCCTGTATGATTTTGGAAGGCTATGTGGTATGTAACAAAATTAAGTGGCCACCATTATCCTAAGGGAATCAGAACTTATGAATGAATCTTCTAAAAATATATTTATCATTTCTCTTCTAAGCTGAAGATCCTTCAATGGCTTCTTCCGGTCAAGCCTGGATATCTTTCTAGTCCTGTATGACCCAGCCCTTGTCACACCTGCATACTGAGCCATATGCTTCCCTTTGAACCAGGTTTTTCAGCCAACCCGCACTTGCTCTCTGACTTCCTTGTACTTCCACACGTTGTCTAGCAAACATTTCCAACTTTTCAAAGTGATGAGCAATATAAATTAGAGAAAAGAGAAAGAAAAGGAAAGGAAGAAAGCAAATAATATTTCAAATTCTTAATAGTGGTTACATAAATAACTTTTCATTTATCATACTAAGGGTACCTTTTTGTAACATTTATTCTCATATGTTGTCTTTAATAAGAACACACTGTTTTCATAACAACTACTTTTGTTAAAAAAAAAGATATGAGTTTATTTCAGAATTCATTGCATGATACTTATCACCAGGACCTGCTTCCTCCTCTGTCCCTCCATGAACATCTTATGCATGCTTGTGTGCAGCACCTATGGAAATAGTCAGCTGCAAAAGGCCCAGAGCACCACAGGACTGTAACGACCTCACAGTGCCCGCACTTCACATTCCCAGAGTTTGCACACTAACTGCCGCATTATATAAGCTCTGAAAATGCTTTTTCAAGTGATGACAACTGCTTGCCAATCCCTGCATGTGACCAAGAGTGAAATAAAAGATGAATTCACCAACAAAAGTATTGTTAAAATAACTGCAGCAATTACAAATAACCTATAGTCATGTACTAATATCCCTTACTATAAAGCATTTATAATATCAGCTATAAGCTGTTAAAATAAAGAGTTATTGAGTCTCTCAAGCCCTATTAGTCAGGGGCAAAGTTCTTCCAGCTTTAACAAAACTCTATAATAATATAAAGTGTGTGGCATGAAATATACATATGTGTATAAAGAAACATAACATGCACATACAGACTCACAGACATACATACAAATACCCAATTCAGTAAAAAGCTAGACACGATGTGGATATTATGGTATAGCAACTATTGAGTCAAAATGAAAATAAATTACTTCATTTAACTGATTCACAATATTTTAGGAGATAAAGATCTTATTAGTAAATATGCTAAAAAAATTCCCAAAACTGTACTAAATGTATCCCAAAGACATATTAAATATGGGTACACTTAAGAACTTCAAACATTATATAGGTTTTCCCTTCCTAGTTTGAAACTTCTATTTGAATTTATTCTTGACTGAACTACTGTCTCAAAATAAAGATTTGCTACTTTTAACTTACACAATAACTCTATTTGTATTGAACAACAGGTTTAACTTACCCTGGTAAATGTGCCTTCAAAACTGTGAATGTCCATTTGTGGTTTCTGAGCATAAACATAAGCATTGATAGAAAAAAGGTCCTGGAATACAGAACATTTGAATTGATTATAATGTTATAATTTAGTAAAATTACTTGGAAATTTCTCATTTGCTAATTAATATTTTTCATATATTATTTACAAAAAGCGATCACTGATTTTCTTAGATTTTTGTGTGTCAACACTATAAATTACAATGTCAGATAAAGACAGAAACCATTTTTAAGCTTGACAGGGTGTGCCCTTGAACAGCAGGTGTGAATCAAAATCATGCAGGAGACACTCACAACAGGCAGCCCCAGGGCCTGCCGGGGGGGCTCCAATGGTAGAGGTGGAGCCTGTTTAGGAATATCTTGAAGTCACCTCAAAGTGTTCAGGGGGAATTAAGGAACCATCACAATTCCTCATAAGTTTTATAAAACAGTTTAATAAATTCCTAGATCTGTTTACAAGTTTTCATTCAAGCAGGCACTGATCACTATAAGCTAAGCGTGGCCTTCCTTACAGCCATGAGGACATGCTTGTTCCATGTGTCTGAACCACATGCTCATGATGCATACTTATAAAATCACATGGGAAAGCTTTCAAGAAACACACATCATAGCTACTTTCATACCATTAATTTTGGAGCAGAAAAGACATAGGCTTTAGGTTGCTTCATTCATTGACTACACATAAAGGTTAAATCAGAAAGTCTCCAGAGGCGAGGCTGAGCCTGGTCTCCACTGGAAGCCACCCCAGTGCCTCTTCTTGCTGCTGACTGTGCTCTATGCTTTTGCTGTCATAAATCACAGCCAGGAGGAGGATCACATGCTGAGTCCTGGGAGCCCTCCTAACAAACCATCTAATTTTGGGTGGTCTTGTGACTCACCCCCCCATGACCCTTTAATACACAGAGTTTGCCATTTCTACAATTCTGATTTCCATTCTGTACATGTGAGTGTATAAAGTTCTGTCATGGCTGCTAAAACTCAAACAGAAAACTCCCAGACTCCCAGACATGAAGAAGCAGAGGTGAGAGATCAGGGTGACTACAGCAGCTGCAAAGTGAGAAAGAAATGGAAGCTCAGAAAGGAGAGTGCCTCAGAAGGGGCCGAATGTGTATATGATCTCATTCTGACACCTAACCTATCATGCCCTAACCTATATCCACTAAAAGAATGGAACCGAGACCACCACAGCAGCTCCCTAATGCCAGAAAGGTAGAGTCTAGAGTTTGACTTCAGTCAAGTTAGCTACCAGTTAAAACAGAACCAAACAAAAAACCAGTACTTTCAGGAGAACATAACAGAACCCTGAATCCTGCCTCTCTACAATGAATCATTTTAAAAAATGAAGAGATGATCCAAATTTCTAAACATATGAAGAAACAAAAACGCAAGGTCCATACCCAAAAAAGCACATAATCAGTGAAGACTAGCCCTGAGATGACCAAACATCAGAATTAAGAAGGGAGAATTTCAAAGCAGCTTTAGCACATCTGAAAGAAAAGCATGCTCCTAACGAGTAAACAAGGAGGAAATCACAACAAAGAAAGAGAAAGTGTATTTAAGAACAAAGAAGCACACAGAAATTCCAAAACTGAAAAAATGCAATGTCTGCAATAAATTCTTCAGATGGGATTAACAGATTACAGACGATGGTGAATCTGAACGTGGGTCAAGAGATAATGATTCCAAAGGACATAGGAAAAAATTATTTTGAACATGAATACAGTCATAGAACCATAAAGGGAATATCACGGAGTCTAACATGCATGTAACTGGGGTTCAGAATGAGTGGACAGACAGAGAATGAAAAAACAAAAACTACTTGAAGAAACAATGACTAAAAATATGCCAAATTTATTGTCAGCCAGAAATGTACAGATTCAGGAAGCCCAGAAAACCCCTAAAAAGACAAATAAAATTTAGAAATAAAAGTCAAATTGCTAAAAAAAAAAAAAAAAAAAAAATCTCAAAAATATCTAGAGAAAAATAACATTACACACAAAAGAAGAACTATCAAAATACCACTGATTTCTCATAAATAATGGAGTCGGAAGACAATGGAACAAAATATTTAAAGTGAGGGGTGGAGGGTGTGGAGAGCAGACTTGTCAAGCAAGAATTCAATATCCAGCAAGAATATTCTTTAAGAATACAGGTGAAATAAAGACACTGTCAGATAAATAAAATGAGAACTCCATTCCAGCAGACATCCACTAGAGGAATATCAGCAGAGGTCCTTTAGGCTGAAAAGAAACAGTATCAGGCAGAAACTCATATCGTCAAGAAGGAATGGTAGGAACAAAAGTGGTAAATATCTAAGTAAATATTTAACAAAACAAAAAAAAACCCAAATCCAATTTTTAATCTTAATTCCCTTAAACTATAAATAAAATGGGCCAGGCCCGGTGGCTCACGCCTGTAATCCCACCACTTTGGGAGGCCGAGGCAGGCAGATCACATGAGGTCAGGAGTTTGAGACTAGCCTGGCCCTCATGGAGAAACCCCGTCTCTACTAAAACTACAAAAATTAACCACACACGCTGCTGCATGTCTGTAGTCCCAGCTACTCACGAGGCTAAAGCAGGAGAACTGGTTGAACCCGGGAGGCAGAGGTTGCAGTGAGCCGAGATCGTACCACCTGCACTCCAGCCTGGGTGACAGAGCAAGACTCTGTGCCAAAAAACTATATGGGTGTGGGGGTGTGTGTATGTATATAAATAAAATGGGCTGGAACAGTTTATGATATTTGTAGATACAGTACATATTAAAAAGTACAGTGAGCTCTTGAACAACATGGGTTGGAACTGTGCAGGTACACTTATACAAGAAATTTTTTCAATAAATCTATTAGAAAACTTTTGGAGATTTGTTGATAATCTGAAAAACCTTGAAGATACATCACATAGCCTAGAAATATTTTTTAAATGTTTAAAGTTAGGTATAACACGAGAACATAAAATGTATGTAGATGTAGTCTATTGTATCACTTACAACTATAAAATATACACAAATCTATTACAAAAAGTTAAAAGTAAAATAAAACCTAAACACACAGGTCATGACAACATCTGCAGCAAGTGACTTGCAAATTGATCCTGAAGATGCAGTATCAAACCCTAACTGCACAGAACTAAGTGCAGTACACACTGTGCTCCCGGAAAGGTGTCGCAGCCCCTCTGCTGTTGCTGCGGGGAGTGAGTGCGAGGGTCCGCTGGAAATGTGGTGCGGCACCATTGACCTCTGTGTGAGCCATCTCCGCTCCAGGGCCCCGTGCATCTGTGTGAGCCAAATGTGGTGCGCACCATTGACCTCTGTGAGCGATCCGCTCCAGGGCCCCGTGCAGATCTGTGTGAGCCGCTCCGCTCCAGGACCCTGCGATCTGTGTGAGCCGCTTCCGCCATAGGTCTTCTATGCATCTGTGTGTGAGCCGCCGTCTCCGCTCCAGGATCTTGCATCTGTGTGAGCTGCCTCGCTCCAGGGCTCCCATGCATCTGTGTGAGCCGTCTCCGCCTCCAGGACTCCCGTGTGCACCAGGTGAGCCGGGGCTCCCAGGGCTCTACATCTGTGTGAGCTGCCTTCCAATCCAGGACCCTATGCATCTGTGTGTGGAGCTGCCTCCCGCCTCCAGGGCTCCCCATGCATCTGTGTGAGCCGTCTCCAATCCAGGACCCTATGCATCACAGTACCGAGTGCTTGCTCATGGCGCTCACATATTTTCCATTGTGTTTAGCATAATACCATGGTGTGAACCTTGAATAACACCACAGGACCCGTAAGAAGTGCCTCTAGTGATGCTGGATGGAAATGTACTCAAAAAGTAGACAAAAGTCATGACATTACAAGAAAAAGCTGAGTTGCTCAGCATGTGTGGTGGATTAAAGTCTGCAGCTATGGCTGCCCACCATTTCAGACAGACGGTGCACCTTGTAAACAGGTGATGTCAACTTGTGCCATCAATAAATTCAGTACTGTACTATAAGTGTATTTTCTGTTCAGTATGATTTTCTTAATAATATTTTCTTTTTTCTAGCTTACTTTACTGTAAGGATACAGTATATAATACATATGACATCCAAAATACGTGTTAATCAACTGTTTAGGTTATCAGCAAGGTTTCCAGTGAACAGTAGGCTATTAACAGTTAAATTTGGGGGCAGTTAAAAGTTTACACACAGATTTTTGACTTCATGGGGGATTGGCACCCTTGACCCCTGTATTGTTCAAGGGGACTGTAGAGTACAAAGCGTGAGTGGGGGAAATAGGTCTATTCAAGGACAAAATTCTTTTTTTTTTTTTTTTTTAAATGGAGTCTCGCTCTGTCACCCAGGCTGGAGTACAGCAGCAAGATCTTGGCTCACTGCAATCTCTGCCTCCCGGGTTCAAGTGATTCTCTGGTCTCAGCCTCCTGAGTAGCTGGGATGACAGGTGCATGCCACCATGCCCAGCTAATTTTTATATTTTTATTAAAGACGGGGTTTCACCATGTTGGTCAGGCTGGTCTCGAACTCCTGACCTTGTGATCCGCCCACCTCAGCCTCCCAAAGTGCTGGGATTACAGGCATGAGCCACCGTGCCTGGTCTCAAGGACGAAATTATTATATTTCATGTGAAGTGGTACAATTTTCACAATACACTTTTAGTTAAAGGCATATTGCAAACTCTAAAGGCATACTGTAACTAGCTAAAAACTCTAGTTAAAGGCATATTTTAGTTAAGAGCATACTGCAAACTAAAAAAAAAGTGCTAAAAAGTCAAGAGATAAAATAGTATTCCAAAAATATTCAATTACGGTAATACTGAAGAAAGATCTAAAGGAAGATGAGAAGCCGAGGTACACTTGAAGGCCTTAAGGGATAACAGAAAGAAACTAACAGAGAAAGATTAGAAGAAGAAACTAGTCATCTACCAAGGTCTCTAAAAAGCACAATTAAATAAGATCAGTCGAAAGTTATAAAATAATTATTCTCAGAAGGATTATTTAGTGTAATTACAGGCAAAACAGGGGAATAGAGGTAATGTTCTTTATTTATGGGATAATGAAGGAATTTCCAA